GTTCATACGTAGGAAAATTCTGTTCATAATCTCTGTAAGAGTTTGTTTTCTGAGGAAATAATGTTTCTTTCAGGCTTGAAATGTTTGTGTGAATGTTTTTTCACTTTTTCCTTAATATTTGGGAAATAGCATAAATGTTTCATTTTTCTGATACAAGAGCAGACTTAAATTTAAATAGGTCAAAAAATGATTATCACTGAGCTTCATCAACCACAAGTATACAAACTTGAATACCTCTCATTTTTAATCTCACCTTTTTTTCCTGGTTGTAAATCTTTTGTGTCTAAAAAAGCAAAGTCAGTATTTCTCTGCTAAATGCATTTTTGGAAGAAAAATAGTATCTTTAAAAGAAAAAAAACATCATTTCCTTGTATTCACCCTATTGCAACAGAATGAAGGGATAGGCCAGTATTGGCAAGTTATGGTGTTTGTGTGAATATTTTTAAGTTTTTAAATGAAACCGCATCCTTTTTTGGGTTTTTGTGTTGTTTTGGTAAGGAAGCAGTGAAAGTTGTAGGATTCTGATTTCTGGCTGGAGAGGTCATGGGATGTTAGTGGTCAGTTCCAACTGAGTGTGATGAGATTACTGTCTCTGATTGTTCCCGTATCTTGGGATTGGAAAGTCAGAGTGAGGAACCAGTGTGAGGAGGAGGTCAGCCAGAGTGGCATCCTCCAGTCAGACAGACACAAAGACAGCCCACTGAATGCACAGCTTACCACGTTCGTAGAATGATTTTCCACCTATTTTTAGAGGGCCAGAGAGGAAACCATTTCATGTTTTTTGGTCTCTTTTTCTCATGAGACATACCAATGCAAATGTCTCCTCTTCTAGGCATCACTATAAATCAAAGCCTATTTTAAAACCCAGTTCAAAAGGTGGAGAGGGCCGGAGCCTGCATTTTTCAGATTCTGTGAGGTTAATGTTTTCTTACTGGTATTTAACCAGAAAAGTAATTTTTTTAAATGAAATTTTTCTTTTTCTTTTTCTACTGTTTTAAGCCTCCTGGTTTTCTCATGGGCTCATAGATGTTTTGGGGACACAAAGGTATGCTTTGTTCTGGTTTTATCTTTTGTGATCAAGAATGCCAGATGCTGCACAGAATCATAGGTGTTCCTGTGTCAGGGAGAGTCTGGCTCTTGTTTTTCTTCCTTATGAACACCTTAAATGCCATGTCTGGCTGTTTTTTCTTAATTAGCAGTGCAAGCATTTCTTAAGGTTTTTTCTTGTCATATATTCACAGAGGTGCTACAGTGAGGAACTGTAGCAGCCAAAGGAGATTAATATAGATGAAATCAGAGAGATTCGTTCATAGTAACATTAATGATCAAATTACAGTCAAGCGAGATCTGATGATACTAGTTATTTTGAAATCGTATGGAGTAAATCCCATCAATCTGGGCTAACATGAGTGAAGGAAGGCTGCCCTAATTAAGTATCTGAATTATAAGACTGAATGGCTAAAAGTGACAATTATTTTGGAGCTGATAGTTGGACAGTAGAAAACTACTATACCAGCTTTATTAATAATAATATCCTTGCTTGAATCTAATGACAGGAGTCAAAAAGTTTGCTTTCCTAAACAAGTTAGACATTCTCCCTGCCAGCTAATATTAGCCTATTTATGTGCTTAACAAACTCTTTGAAAACTGAAGTCCATCCCACTTTTTAGTTATACCTTCTTACTTAGAAAAATTTAATATTTATTCATATTTATTTGGCTAAATCTTTTTGTTTAAAACCATTATACCTAAGATACTTATTATGTTGCACACATATGTAGTATTGAAGATAGTAAAAATGTTAATGCTGAATGTGTGATCTTGCACTTATTTCCCCTAATGCCACAACTCAGATGAGAGACCAGATGGAGTCTCATCTGCAGGAGTTAGAGCATGTCTGCGATTCCTTGACGGCAGCTGAACGGAGGCTTCACAAGTGTCAGGAGAATTTGCAACGCTGCAAGGGGAAGTGTGCAGACCAGGAACACACCATTAGGGAGCTGCAGGGCCAGGTGTCCAACGGTCGTTCTCAATTTTGCTAGATGTGTAAAGGAGTGCTCTGGAATGATTTCACCAGTTGAGGGCACTCATGTCAGGGCTTGATATTTTTATTCCCATTTGTATCAGTTGATAAAACATCGTTTTCATGCAGATACTGTGATATTATTTTGCAAGCTATTCTTTTAGTGTTTTCTGGTGAAAAATTGGTAATTAAAATTGCTAATTTAGTTTATTCACACAAATCTATATTTAGGTATTTGAGGGTATGGCAATGGCATGAGAGATGTTTCTTAATGTCAGGGTTAGGTAAATTATTGTAATTTACCTTACACAAATTAGAATTTATTTTAATTAGAATTGTACCTCAAGTTTATTGGAATTACTTTAAGGTTTTTTTTTCAATTTATACTTTTTTTACTCCATCAGACTAGGGATCATGTGTGTCCTGTTAATCACTACATATCCCTCTCACTGCATAGCCATCTCCTTGTCCAATGCCTGGCACATAATAAGCACTCAATAAGTATTTTTTGAATTAATTTTTTTTCAAAGAAGCAGTCCAAGGGTGGTGGACTTTTTCTTTACTTACAGGACAGTTTAGGAAGGATTCTCTGTCTTTCAAATATAATCTGGGTTTTAATTTTGAAATACATCCTGTTTTTAAAAAACATGCTGACAAGATTTTTGTG